TACTTAACATGAGTAGTCTTTGAACTCGAGGATTTCCCGTAACTTGAGCCGGAAGGTAGAGAGATTGAAGATTGAAGAATATGAACGGATTTTCTTTGTAAGGTATATGTATTTAAACTATGTGGGATTCATGATGTCAGTATAACGAGGTCGTTAAAAGTAAGGATAGGAAAATTGGTAATTTAGGAGTGATTAATCACTTCATTTTTCGAAAGGGGCAAGGAGTGTGAGGCAGCAAGCTTTATTTTTTATTTCTTTGTGGTTTTGTTTTCAGTTCACTTTATTATTCTTTCTATTGTTTAGTTAATCTATGATATTTTAGTTTACATTTAAACGCTAACTCACCTTCTAGCTAATTACGTCATTTAAAGTTTATAAGAGTTATGAGACTGACATCAGTTTCCCTATCTGTGATTTGTAAATAATAATGTCGGAGAAGAGTGTACATAATGTTAAAATGCATCTTTAATCTCTTGAATATAAACCGTGTCATGAGCTTCAATAAGTCTGCTCACGAGAGTTAGTGGAGAAGTGTCTGTTATTAAATGTTTTGTACTTTTGTGCATATGTTTTATTTTCCTAATTTCTTTTATTGAAATATTAATCCTGATATTAGTGGTATATTCTTTCATGTTATTACAAAGTCCTCACCACTTGCATATCCATAAGCTCTATACGAATTACTTGGTAGTTTATAAAGGGTCAAAGAACGACGTTTGGAAGACACCGTAACTAGCTTATCAACATTGTATCTTGTATTCTGTATAACGTCTTGAAATAGTTGGTTAAGTCATAACTAAAAGTAGTTAACTTTTAAATCATATTATTATGAATACATCCGTTATCTTCTGGAGTAAACAATTTTAATCAAACTTATTTTATATTGAATTGGACTGTTCAAACTCGCTGGTTGTGATTCGATTTTTTTTTTAATTTAAAATATATAATTTTTTCTCCAGTTAATTCCTTGACACCATTCTTATCCTAGGCATTTTCACAAAATTAAATGCTGCAAGAAGGCTTGGAGATTTGCCTAACAAAATGAACAACTAATTCTGGTGTATCCACATCTCATCCTTCGACATAACACCCTAATGAGTTATCTTCTCAACCTGGCTGATCTCTAAACTCAAACCTTCTGTAAGATGAACTACAGCAGGAAAGAAAAGAAGCTAAAGATTCAAGAATATGAATTATTTTTACTTGTAAGGTTTCTGAAACTTTAAAGGATTCAGTGTTAGTTTAATGAGGAAGTTTAGTATTAATTAATATAATCACTTCGGTTTCCGAAAAGGGAAGGATTGTGAGATAGCAAAAATTTTTTTTATGCTTTTTACCATTCAATTATTTCTTCTATCGTTTAGTTAATCTGTATTTTTAATTTACAAATAAACGCTAACTCACATTCTAGTAAACCACATTAATTTTTAAAATTATATAAATTATCAGACTGCAGCCTATTTTCCATAGGGGATGACGTTCAGATATTAATGTTGGGAAAGTGTGCACATGATTATCACATGAATTCTGATTTCTTGATGTGAGTAGTAAGTTAATTATCACAGATTAGCTACTCTTGGAACCCATGAACTTCTGTTAAACTGAACTGAAGCCGGAAGCTAAAGAAGATAAAAACCGAGTACAGGAGAAAATGGAATGATTTCGCCTTCAAATATATCTGTATTTCAGTTGTTAAGGATTGACTATGTCAGTATAATGAGGACGTTAAAAGTAAGGATACTAAAATTGGGTATTTTAAATAGTGATTAATGTAATCCATTTTTTTCTAAAGGGGAAGGAGTTTTAGGTAATAAGTTCAATTTATTTAGTTTTGGATTTGTTAATCGTTGAGCAGATGACTCGTTAATTCGAAGGATGAGATGTGGACAAGTCGAAATAAGTTGTTAATGTAGAAGGGGGGGGAGGCGCTCTCCAAGCCTTTTTTCGCCACTTTTCTCTGCAACGATATAGAACGATTAGCATTTTCTGGTATAGAAATAATTTTCGAGAAAACATTTTTCAAATTAGATAAGTAAAATTGTTCTACCATTAAATGGATTTTTTTTTTTAATATAAAAAAGTTGATTAACATAAATAAGTTTAGACAGTCCATTCTATACGAGAATATATCTTAGAATAAGAAAATTTAATAAAGAAGACAATAAATATATTCTTAATAACAGAGTTAGAAAATTAAATTTTAATTGTGTCGGAAAGTTACTAACTGTTGTAAGGTTCTCGCTGTATATTTCGATGCATTTAAACTTTGGATAATGTCTGTTTAATATTTGTAAATAGTTCTGTTCGTTCTTCTACGGTTGAAGGTGCTGTTGGGTATTTTGTTAGTTATTTAAAAGAAGTCCTTTTTTAACCCCTTAAAACTAATTATATAGTTTAGATGTAGTTTATGGGTATTCACATTGCCAAACTTTGTTCTACCATGAAAGAACAATATACGATAAATATCAGGATTAATATTTCTATAAATAAAAGGAATTATAAAATACAATATTTACAAAACTACAGTGTATAATGTTTTAAATAACCAATAACACTTACTATTTCTCGTGATAATATCAATATTTCCAATAAGTTGTAACATTATTTACATACTGTTTTGCAACATTAAAATCTGAAAGTTACTGATAGAGGAAATTGGTGTCAGTCTCACAACTTTTAGAAGCTTTAAATGACGTAGTTAATTAGAATGAGAGGTAGCGTTTAAACGTAAAACTAAAATTGTATAGGTTAACTAAACAATAGAAAGAATAATAAACGAACAGAAAACAAAAACATAACGAAATAAAAATAGGATTTGCTACCTCATATTCCTTCCTCTTTCGAAAAAAGAAAGTGATTACATTAATCATTGTTCATAAAGTCCCAATTTTTGTATCCTTGCTTTTAACGACCTCGTTATACTGACACCACAGTTTAAGTACATATACCTTACAAAGAAAATTCGTTCATGTTCTATCTTCACCTTCTCTACCTTCCGGCTCAGGTTACGGGACCTTTTCGAGTTCAAAGACAAGCTAAACTGCAATAATTAACTAGTTAGACCAAGAGATTTAAAATCATGTGATAATTATTTACACTCTTTAATAATATTAACATTTACAAGTCACCGTTATGGAAAACTGGTGTTAGTGTGATACTTAAAATTAATGTGAATAACTAGATCGCGAGTTATCGTTTAAATGTAAAACTAAATATTCACAACTTAACGAAACGAGAGAATGAATAATATATGAACTTAGATGGTCTTAAAACTCGAGCACTCCCTGTAAGGTGAACCAGATCAGGAAACTAGATAAGATCAACCTGAAGAGTTAATAACATAAACAATTTGTATTAGTATCTGTACTTAACTGTGGGGGGGGGGATTCATAATGTCAGTATAACGATGACCTTAAAAGTAAGAATACAAAAATTTGGAATTTATACGGAATGACTTAATATCATTCTTTGTCTAAAGCGGAAGGAGTGTGAGATAGCATATTATATTTTGTTATGGATTTCTATACCGTTCATTTATTATTCATTCTATCGTTTAGTTAACCTCTGGATTTTTATTTCCACTTCAACGCTAACTCACCTTCTAGCTAACCTCATCAATTTTGAATTTATATGAATTATTAGACTGACATCCGTTTCCCATATCAGTGACGTACAGATATTAATATTGGTAAAGAGTATGTACAAAATTTATTTAATTATTACAAGTTAACTGGTCTTAGAATTGTAACTTCGTTAAGCTGAACTAGAACCGAAAGATAGTCGAATTTATAAGAAAAGTGGTTTCTCTTTGTACTGTATCTATACTTAAACTGTGAAGTATATCAGTATAAGATTACAAGTAAGGATTTAATTTTAAACTGAATAATGTAATCACTTCTTCTAAAGGGGGAAAG